ATAAAGAGAATCAGAAAAATAAATAAATAGATTCAGTTACTTTCAAATTTAAAGAGAAGCTTCCCCAGTATAATTTTATGTTTTTTCTTGATTTTTTTCTTTTTCATTAGTCTCCGAGAATTTCTACTCCATACAACTATCAAAAACTTTTGGGATGTAAAATAACGTGGTAAGATATAACAAATTTGATATCTTATATATAAAAGTTTAAGTTATTAAGAAATATAATTTAAGTCAATCAAATAGTTTATAGAAATCAAAATTTATAAGGACTCCTCCAAATCATTATTAGAAATTGACACATATGATCTCAAATCATCGACTAACATTACGACGTATCAATATATAGGATTATGAACTACTAGATTTATTTGGAAAATAAATTAATCACGGTTTTATGATTGGTGCCTATTAATATAATATGCACTTTATTGAAATAATATAATTTATTTGGAAAACAAATTAATCACGGTTTTGTGATTGGTGCCTATTAATATAATATGCACTTTATTGAAATAATTTATGGGATGGGATTAATCGACGAAATAATAGCAACTGGATCGGGCTTTTGTTGGGCAGGCCGCCGTATATACTTCTGGCCCATATATCAACCCTCTTAATGGATAAGCAGCCCACTAAGTCACGAGCTAATATGTACACAACGATGAGTATAGTATCAACTAGTTTCTTCTCGTCTTCACCAAATTCGCTTGATACATATATTACAGTTCGTAAGGGGAGAAAAGCTTAACCAGAATATTCGAAAATGGCACCGGAGCCTGAGGATGAGATCAAGGACGAGAAAAACCCTAGACCCCTCGATGAAGACGATATTGCCCTCCTCAAGACATATGTAAATTTTCTTTTTCTTTTTTTCTGTTAATCCTATCTTCTTGTTTGCTTTTGCTAGTAAGTTAATTGTTTGGAGAGGTGAAATTTTTGTCTTGAACCCATTAGCTGCTTGTTTATGTGTAGAGAGACTAGGGGAAGGCAGCGAATGTGTAACCCCTTCTTTGGTGGGAGATTTAGGAACTAGGTTTCGAAACCTAACGGAAAGTCTGGACCTTAGTTTCTAAATTTAGTTAAAGCTTGATTAGCAATTTAGCATGGCCGAGCCTTAAATTTGTAGCTTTTTTCCTTAATTCCAGGTTGGGTTATATGGATTTAGATGGTTTGCTTTGACAATTCAGAATTAGGATACGTGCTTGTATATATATCTGCAGTTGAGAACTTATGCATATTCTTATCTTTGACTTACTATGTAATTATGGCTACTTGCTAGTCATAGCTTAGTTGCTTTTCATATTTGACATCCCTGCTCACAGTGTGAATTTTTTCCTTGGGATGTGTATAATGCATCGGAAATGATCTTTTACTTCCTTATTCTAAACGATTCCTTCTGTTGAGCCTAATGAAATGCTATATTGCTTATGTGGAATAATGGCTACTTACTAATCATAGGTTAGTTGCTAATCATAGTGACATCCCTACTCATAGTGTCTGAAATATTTTCATGGGGTCTGTGTAATGCATTGGATATGAACTTTTTTTCCCTTATTCTAGCAATGGTCACTTCTGTCGATTCATATGAAATGTTATATGTAGGGTTTAGGACCTTACTCGACGAGCATAAAGAAAGCTGAGAAGGAAATCAAGGAGATGGCAAAGAAGATCAATGATTTATGTGGTATGCTAACTGTTCATGCTGTCTAATATATCATTTGGATCAAATTTAGTCTAACAACATTTTACTTATTTGTGAATTATGATAATGTTAAAACTAGCTCTTTCTTTTGTTCTCCTTTTTAATATAGCATTATTTTAGAATCCTAAACCTGCTTTGCACATAATTTTCATCTATTTGTATTGATGAGGATCTGTCAATTTTTACTTCGTTATAGGTATCAAGGAATCTGATACTGGTTTAGCTGCACCCAGTCAATGGGACCTTGTTTCGGATAAGCAAATGATGCAGGAGGAACAACCTCTTCAGGTGGTACTTCTATTTTCCTGAATGTATTTTGTCGTTTTTAATATATATACTTTTGGCATATAATAGTAAACCGGTTTAACTTTTGTTGAATAGGTTGCAAGATGTACGAAGATAATTAATCCCAACACTGAGGATGCCAAGTATGTTATAAATGTCAAGCAAATCGCAAAGGTAAGTATTCCAGTTCCAGAGCCAGTTCAAGGAAAATAAAATAGAACCATTTAACTTGTAATATTTGAAGATATCATTATGTGATCTGCCATTATATTGGTAATTTCAAGATTTTTCTTTTTCTGGGTGATATAAAATTTATAAGTATTATATTATTGCAGTTTGTTGTTGGATTGGGTGATAAAGTTTCTCCTACTGATATTGAAGAAGGCATGCGTGTTGGGTAAGCTGCCATTTTCTGGTTTACAATAGCAAGCATCATGTGTTCGCCTAATTGACGAGTCCGTTTATTTTTCTTTGTCAGAAACATTTAGTGTACTCTTTGGTCATTACCTCACTGTGTCAATTACATGCTGCATATTTAAAATCTTCATGGTATTTCATGACCTGTCTCATTTACTTTACCTCTTTATCAATGAATTACTTCAATTCGATAAAATGGAAGAATTACTAGATGATATTTTTCAGGAAAGTTCAGTAGTTTTTGAGAGTTCCTAGCATGATATGAAGTCTTACTCTTTACACATGTTATTGCAGAGTGGACAGAAATAAATATCAAATCCAGATTCCTTTGCCTCCAAAAATCGATCCAAGTGTTACAATGATGACTGTGGAAGAAAAGCCTGATGTTACCTATAATGATGTCGGAGGATGTAAGGAGCAGATTGAAAAGATGCGAGAGGTCGGTTATATATATTTACGTGTTGGAATTATATCTATTTTTATAATTTTCCATTGAAAACCGTCTAATATTTCCAAAATTTGTTTTATGTAGGTTGTTGAGCTGCCTATGCTTCATCCTGAGAAATTCGTGAAGCTGGGGATTGATCCTCCAAAGGGGGTTCTATGCTATGGTCCACCTGGCACTGGCAAAACCCTACTAGCTCGAGCAGTGGCTAATCGGACAGATGCTTGCTTTATTCGTGTTATTGGCAGTGAACTCGTTCAGAAATACGTAGGGGAAGGTGCCCGTATGGTTCGTGAACTGTTTCAGGTAGGGCCAACTAAATTTCAATTTATATTTTTATTTTTTGCTCCAATCCCATTTCTTAATTTCCCAATAACTAAATGTTGAAGTTGAATATATATAACTTAAAAATAGAGAAAGAAACCCTATGGGGATGCTTGGATACAATTTTTTCCAAAAAAATACTATCATTTTTAACCAATCACTTTTTTTAACTCAACCCCACTATTCTCAATATTATCAATATAATTAAATAATATCACTCAATTATTCTTACACATTACATTAACTTTAATTCACTATTTCATTCATTCACATAATTTTAATTAACCATCAAATCTCTCTCCTATTTTTACATCAAATCAACTTTAATTATTTTATTTTAGATATTATTTTAATATAAACTCAAAATCCCAATAACAACTAATCATACCAATTTTTCAAAATTAAACCAAACAAAAAATCCAGACATAATCAAACATCTTATACTGGAAAAAAAAAATGGAGAAATAATAAACTTATGACCCATAAAAAGTAAAATAAAATTTTTGAGAGGTGAATTTGGGCTGCCTTGCACCAATTTTTGCTGTTTTAGCATATCGGCTCGTTGTAACATAGAATCAACTAGCTTATTTTGCCTTCGTCTGTTTTCCCTTTACCAGATGGCACGCTCTAAGAAGGCATGCATTGTATTTTTCGATGAAGTGGATGCAATTGGAGGAGCGAGGTTTGATGATGGTGTTGGTGGTGATAACGAAGTTCAACGTACCATGCTTGAGATTGTGAACCAGCTCGATGGATTTGATGCCCGTGGGAATATTAAAGTCCTCATGGCCACCAATAGGTTGGTTTTGGCTTTTGATTCTCTATACGGCTTGTACTATAGTACTTTATCTATAATATCAATAGAGTAACTAATAATATTTTCCTTTTGTTTTTTTCAATTTGTAGACCAGATACTCTTGATCCAGCGCTTTTACGCCCTGGACGGCTGGATCGCAAGGTGGAGTTTGGACTGCCTGACTTGGAAAGTAGGACCCAGATTTTCAAGATTCACACACGAACCATGAATTGTGAGAGGGACATTCGGTTTGAACTTCTCGCTCGGTTATGCCCTAATTCTACTGGTAAAGTTTTATAGCCCTTTTGCGAGAGTATATATTAGATGTTGTATATATATACAATGTTGTAGGCTGTGTTTGTTAAGCATATATATAGCTTATTTGATTAGTTTATAAGCTTCCTGTATGCAAATAAGCTTGGTTTGGTACGACGAACTTTTTTAAAAAGCTCGAGCTTATCTCATAAGTTTACTTGGGTAACTTTTCAAATAAGTTGTTTGAAATTTTTATTTCAGATAAGCTAATTTTACCAAACACTTTTATCATATAAGTTAGCTTTTCAGCCATAAGTCATAAGCTATAAGCTCAAAATTCACTTAAAAGCTATAAGCTAGTTTATCAGCTAGATTTACCAAACATATCCGTAGCTAGATTTACCAAACATAAACATACTCATAATCCTGCACAAAATTTCAGTTTATATATTCGTTTGTTTCGCCAATGATAGAAACTTATGGCGAACTCTTAACAAATTTCCACATGATACTTGAAAAGGGCTTATGTGTCTTCCGAAATCACAGAGCTCTGTCTCCTTTTTTTTGTTTAATTTTGTTAATCAACTTTATTTTTTATTTTTTTTTCTAAATTAACTGCTCCTTCGAGGGGTAATTTCTCAGAGAAAGATTTGATTTTCTTGGGGGGCTTCTGTTTTTCTAAAATCAGGTGCCGATATAAGAAGCGTTTGCACGGAAGCTGGAATGTATGCCATTAGAGCAAGAAGAAAGACAGTCACAGAGAAAGATTTCCTTGATGCTGTTAACAAAGTCATCAAAGGCTACCAGAAATTCAGCGCCACACCAAAATATATGGTTTACAATTAAGTTTTTGTTTGCTTGGGATCTCGAGATTTTCAGTAAGGTTCGATGGCCATACTCAATGGATGAGATTTTCAGTAAGGTATTTGACGGCCAAAATTAACGGGGACTTTTGTACCAGATGGTAAAGGGGCTGGTCTTTATAGTCACATTAATAAGTTCTTATTTCAGTTCAGAACATTTTAAAGGGCCTTTGTGCTTTGCATTTCGTTCTGTACTATTGTCTTATTTTGAGTAACTTGTTTGAACGAATGGACAACAGTTTCTCTTTATCTGGGTTTGATTCAAGTGCTTGTTTGGGAAAAGATGGACGAAAGTGACTTCTCAAGAGTATTCTACTTGAACTTATCTTAAATACCGCTATAACTTTGTTAAGTGTATTAATATGAGGTTTTAAGTGATATTTTAAGGATTTTTTTATAATTTGAAACTTCATAAAATTTTCTTATTTAATTGGAATATAGCTGGAGATTGAACTTATTTAATTTCCTTGAAAATTACTACAAGTCTTAAAAATTATAGATAAAATTTAAGTGATAAATAAATTAAAAAATCTTGATAAATCTAAATGATAAATAAACTGAAATATAAATTAAAAATATATACAAATATACCTCGTCACTAAAATTTCAGATGAATACAAATGACATTTTAATTTTAAAAACTTCAAATAAAGATGTTACAAGGTTGAAGTTTTTTTTTTTTAATTTTATTTTTTTTTTCTCGAAACGATAGAAGTATTATATTGATAAAAACTGCACAAAGTGCGAAGAGAAAGCAGTCAAAAGCTGAAAAGTACAATCAAAAGTTGAAAAGACTGGGAGGCGAAGCAATCAAAAGCTGAAAAGTACAACCAAAGGTTGAAAAGACTAGGAGGCCGATTCGAAGATCACCTAGAACTTGCTAGCAACGCTAGAAAGATAAATTCGTAAAACAACTAAAAAGATCACAACAGAAATTTAACATACACAAAAGCAACTACAAGGCTGAAGTTTAACATACCACTATTTCTTAAAATTTAAATTGAATATAAGCGACTTTGAGAAGGCTACTTTTTTACAAGTCAATTGAAAAATTTTCACCAATAGAAATTAACTTTTATTGGCGAAAGTTCATCTGAAAACTGATTCTAAACAAGAACAAAATCTTTTGAAAAGAAATTGGGCCAAATTTTATCAAGTTCAAGTGCTACAAATATATTAATTTAAATGAGGAAAAGCATTAATATAAAAATGATTTAATTATATCACGTAAAGTAATTTGATATTTTATAAATACCATTAAAAAGAGTAGCTAAAAATTACTGCAGCATCATCAAAGGTAGTTGAATATCTCACATCAGGTACATAAAACCATTAACCATAAGGGAAGAACAAAAGACAAATATTTGTCAAGCCAACTCTCAAGAATGAACAAATTTTCTTTCTCTACTATATGATACAACAGAATGAAACCCGACCCGGAAGACCAGCACAATGGCGACTTACCGAGAAGATGACCGTCAATGGACCTTCATTTTCCGAGTACAATTTTTCGTTTTTCTTTTTTATTTCTTTTTTTTTCTGATTCAGATGATCAAACGGGAAAAACTCGCTTGAAACCTACGGAGTATAGTCCTCAGCATCACCACTGCCAGCTCGAGTCGAGGCAGCTTCATTTCCAAACGTGCGCTTGCTCATGTTCGCACGTTGTACCAACCGCACCAATGCTTGTACCACCTCTGACATAGGTGGCCTGAACTCGGGCTCCGGCTATACATGGAAAAAGTAAGTAAAAAACTAGAGTCAAATTGCCTGATGGAGCAAAATGTTCAACTTTTTGGTTTGCATTTGTCAAAATTCAGGGTCCTATTTTCAACTTTTTAGGGGGCGGTTGGATATAAATCAAAATCGATTTTGATTGGATTTCGAATTAAAGTGAGGTGATTTTAAATAAAGTTGATTTTTGTTGGTTTGAACTTGTAATTAAGGTCCTATTTTCAACTTTTTAGTTTCTTAGGGGCAATTGGCTACATATTAAAACCGGTTGTGACTGACCAGGTCCTTTTTTTTACATTCTTTAACTCAAAATCCATATCATATTTAATCCAACCAACTCTCTTCAATATTATTAATATAATTAAATAATAACAATCAATCATTCTCACATCAACTTTATTTCCCTATTCATTCACTCACATAATTTTAGTTACATATCATTTTCAATAACATTTCTCCTAATCATTACATTTTAAATATTATTTAAAAACAAACTTAAAATCTCATCCAATCAACTTTATTTAAAATTAACTCACTTTAACTCCAAATCCAATCAAAATCGGGTTTGGTTTATATCCAATCACCCCCTTAGTTTTTTAGTTTTTTAGTGGTTTTAGACTTCACTTGCCAATCTTGAGTTATTTTTTAGTTTTTTAGGATTCTTTGCTCATTTTATGGCATTGTTATATTCTCAAAGTTAAGTAATTTTAATCAATCCTCTGTAAACTACTGACTTTGAACTTATATTTTTTTTTTTTTCATTTTGAAAGATATTAGTGTTGGTATGGAAACAATGTACCTGGACACAAAGGGCAATTACGTCCGCAAAACGTGAGAGTGACTTGACGGGATAGAGTCCCTTGAGAGACGGGTCCACCATTTTAGAGAGGGCATCGATATCATGGAGCTGAGGTGTTGCCCATCGGACTAAAGATTGCTCGGTTCTTGGCCTTGAACTGCAGCAAAAAGGCCAAATTAATTTATTGAAAATGTATTTACGTGTGAATATGGATCACCACATGAACTAAAAACCCTTTGAAACTGGCCTGGATTATAATAGCTGATCATACAAATGAAGTCTTGAAATTTACCAAAGGTCTTTCAAGTTTTGAGTCGACTTTAAGTTTAGGAGGAGGGTTGAAACTTGAAATACACTTAGGGGGTGATTGGATATAAATTCAACTAGCAAAAAACTAGTTTTTTTTTAACTATAGTTAAGTTTGAAAAAAAGTAGTATGGTTAGTTGTTAGTGGATATATTAAAATAAAAATCTAAAGTAAAATAATTAAAGTTGATTTGATGTAAAAGTAAGAGAAAATGATTGGAAATGATAGTTAGTTAAAATTATGTGAGTGGGTGAATAGTGAATTAAAATTGATGTGATGTATAAGAATGATTGGTTGATATTATTTAATTATATTGATAATATTAGAGATAGTGGAGTTGAGTTAAAGTTGAGTTAAATTTGAGTTTTGAGTGGGATATTTACTGTAGAAATTATATACAATCATGCCCTTAGGAGTTACATGTTTTCAGTATTAAGGGGAATATATAGGCAAAAATGCATTTTTTAGTCCTTTTGGTTTAACGTCATAACAATTTTAGTCCCAAAATTCTAACTTTTCGCCTTTTGGTCCTGTGATTTAATATTTTGCTGCAGTTTCAGTCTTGAGGACTGAAATTGCAACAAATTCCTAGATTTCAATTAGCAAGTAAGTCTTGTAATTATTTAAAAAAAAAAAAAAAAAATTTTGTCGCAATTTAGCATGGCTTAAATAATGACTCTCTTTCCCTTGCATTAAAGTGAGGACTGCAATTGCAACAAAATTTTGAATTACAAGACTTAAAAAATCTAGAAATTTGTTGCAATTTTAGTACTCAAAAGACTGAAATTGCAACAAAATATTAAATCACAGAACCAAAAATGAAATGTTGAAATCTTGGGACTAAAATTGTTGTGGCGTTTACCAACCGGAGGAAATATAACAAGGATCATATGCCAACCGAAAATGGGGCAATTTCACAATTAGAGCAAACATCATATAATTTTTTTTATAAACAGCGAAAACTTGTTCAAAAGGCATTGGTTTGTACCTATCGAAAGGCGTGCGGCCTGTAAGAAGCTCCAACATCACAACCCCAAAGCTATAAACATCACTTTTAATGGTGTACTGACCGGACATTGTCACCTCAGGTGCACTATAGCCCGATGCCTGCAAAAAAAAGTGTAAATTTTGATACTAGAATGTAATTATTTCCACAGGAGAGCCGCATCTTTAGGTAAATTACAAAAGCTACCGAAAAGTTTGTAAGTAGTATCTACCAAATTATGATGAAAGGGCATTTGTAATGTTGAAAGATAGTCATTTTAAAAAAAATGAAGCAGAAGGAAAATTCAAACGACAATTATGATTTTTTAAAATGATAGACTAAATATTATCATTTTTATTTTTATTTTTATTTATACCTGATCTGGTTCACGGACAAGGCTGGCTAATGCGCAATCAGAAAGGTGAGGATTGAGCTCCATGTCCAGTAGAATATTTGCTGACTTGAAATTTTTATGAATAACAGAAGGTGAACACACTTCATGCAGATACCTACAAGTGAACGTTCGTCCACAATGAGTAAAAATGCAGATTTCTTTCGCAGAAATTATAAAGAAAAAAAAGAAAAAAGGACGAATGATTCGGAAGTGGAACTAATTAAATATCAGCAAATGGTAGTGAGATTTTTCAAGAAAAATCTTGTTCGGAACTTACTCGAGTGCTCTTGCGGTCCCCAATGCAATCTTGACACGAGTGTTCCACGTCAAAGGCTTGTTATATTCATCAGAAAGATGCAGAAATTCGTGCAAGGACCCGTTTTTATGGAACTCATAAACGAGAAGGTGTTGACCATGCTCCGAACAATACCCAATCAGCTCAGTTACATTCGGATGGTGCAATTTCGAAATTTCAGACACAATGTCCAGGAAAACCTCTGAATTCGAAAGTACGGACGAATTTATTTTCTTCACTGCAACAACCTTTTTTTGCCACAAACATCGGTAGTTAGTTAACTAAAGTACTAAACATTTGAAATATGTGTGAAGCAGATATAATAATAAAGGTAAAACATTTGAAATATGTATTAAGAAAATTTACCCCTTTACGAGCAAAAACATTTTAAATATACTTATATCTGTAAAAAAAAAAATATTACAACATTTCTGTTACACATCAAGGTGTTATTTCTAAATACTAAGACCTGCAGTTTTTTTTTCTCGTAAATAATCCAATTTATTCTTTACTTTTTTTAATCAATCCTTGTATNGAAGGCACTAAGACGAGCTCCAAGACTTGAAAAAAAAAAATCAACTTCAACCTAAAAATCTCAAATTTTGATAAATAATAAAGTAAAGCTTACCCTTCCATCATCCAATTGAGCCCGGAAAACACGTCCAATAGATCCCTCGCCAATGAGATTATCTGCATTGAAACTATCCGTTGCTATCTGCAAGTCAGCAACTGAGAACAGCTTAGCATCTATTGGTGCCCTGTTGACTTTCTTCGGGGGCACAATCGGCATAACGGTTACATCATCCTCGTCAAACGACTTATGACGATCAAAAGGAGGAGGTTTCAGGCTTATCACAGCTGGTGCTTCGAAAGATGTAGTGCTGCTTGCTGATGAAGCCTTAACAGACTTGATTTCTGCAGTTGAAAACATTGTGTTGAATAAATAAAACATTAAAAGTAGTCACAATGTAATTTAAATAGGATTTGATTAATTGCAAAAGTGAACCCCCGGTGTTTGGACTAATTATGAAATGAACCCAGTTAGTTCTCTTTACAGGAAGAAAAAAAAGACACCGGCTCCTCATTTGACAAATTGTGACCTTATGAGTAGAGTTTTTTGCTAAGTAAACGCAAATCTCAAAGCTTGTTTGTATACAAGTTTACCAAAAAAAAAAAATCAATCTCAACTCAAAATCTAGCTCAATCTTAACTCAACATGACTATCCTCAATATTATCAATATAATTAAATAATATCAATCATTCATTCTTACACATCACATCAACTTTAATTCAATATTCATTTACTCACATAATTTTAACTACCTATTACTTGCAATCATTTATCTCATACTTTTACATTGAATCAATTTTAATCATTTTATTTTAAATATTATTTTAATATAAACTTAAAATCCCACTAACAACTAACCATACAACTTTTTCAAAATTACGTCGGGTTAACAAAATATATTTGTAAACAAGCAAGCCCTCAGAGTGATACTTCTAATTCCGAGTAATTACAAATACTAACAAGTTGAGTTATTTGTAATAGACTAGGAAACGGTGTAATTGTACAAATATTAAACAACTTCACCTATTTCCTCTATATACAAAAACATGATAGTTATATAATTACCCTCTTTTGTAATTTGGCCAAACCCACATCATCCAAGAGATAGTTATGTAATTAGCCTAGACCTCAAGTACCTTGCGCTTCTTGCGAAGTTAGGGGAGCAAAAGGCTGGTTGTCGAGCTTCTCAATGTCCATGGGTGACTTTCTCGATCGTCTCTTTATGACGAAAAACGCAACTATAGCCCCAATGACCAGAATAGAAATAACAATTCCGGCTATAGCACCGCCGCCAATGCCGGAAGAGCCTCCGCCGCCACCGGACGAGCCTTCACCGCCACTGCCGCCGCCGCCACGGTGGTTCCGGCTGGGCCTGACAGCTGGCGGAGTGCCAGGTGGCGGTGGAGGGGCAGGCCCGGAATTGAATTGATTGCCGTCTGCACTGTTAGGTGAAGCACAAAGGTAAATATGTTAAAAATGATGGTAATCTTTTCAAATGAATAAAAGATTAATGGTGATATGCTTACTGAATGTTTATGCCTCTCAATTGTTGAGGGACCCATCCGGTAAAACGATTGTTCTCGACATTCCTAAAAAGAGACAAGACATATAACTATAAGCTACAAAGTCATCTATTTTTCTAAGTGTACTTGCAGAAAAATAAATAAATAAATAGCGAGTAAGCGCAGCTTCTACAAAGAAGCGATTCTCAGCTTCTATGTAAAAAAATCCTTCTTTTCCATCAAGATATTGTACGTTGAGAATGCTTGACATGTAACTTGTTAATGTTCTTCCTTAAGAAAAATTTGAGCAAAAAGCAGAATTTAAATTGCACTCCCCTCTATAACTTTGGATTCTACATTCTAATTACATGCATAAGTTGGCATTCATGAAGATAATCAAAACTGCAACTTTTACATCCAAAAGCGGAAAATCACATTTAACGAATGAAGGCCAACACTCAAAGAGTAAGTGTTAAGCAGATATCAAATTGCGAAAAGGAACTCACAGATTTTCAAGTGGTAGATTAGCGAGGACATCAAGAGTTCCAGTAAACTGATTGTTTTGTAAATACCTGCAAAAGTATTACAAGTGACCAAACCATCCTACGAAACAAACCGAATTATAAAACAAAATGTTATTTACACTTACATATTCTGTATGCTTGATAGGAACTGGAAATTTTGAGGAAGATTATCCGACATCTGATTATTAGACAAATCCCTGAAGTATGAAAATAAAGCATATCGCCGAGCATTGAGACAACAAGTGAAAGAAATAGGAGATGAAAGCTAATTTTTCGAGGCATGAACAAACCAAAATAAAGATAAAAAAAATATCAACTTTAAAATAAATCTATTAAGAACCAACATGAGAAGATTGGCCTTACAATGTGGTGAGAGCAGACAGGTTGGTCTGGAGACTCAATTGACCCTGAATATTATTGTGGCTTAAATTGCTGCCATTACAAAGTGTTCATATCATGTCAGAGACTCAGAATACAGAAGCCTGATTTATTTATAGCGATAATTACGAGTCAAAAAATACAGATACCCTTGAGATTAAGTCTGACTACAAAAAAATCCCATGTATCTTCTTAAATGCAAATCCTTATAGATTATTTGTAATCCTAAAAGAGAGTACTGTAAGTTCAACATGTTCTGTAGTTAGGCTAAACCTAAGGGGTAGCTTTTGTAATTATACCTATGTGCTCTATACTTGAGTTTCAAGTTTAAAAAAGACTTAACAGATATTCTAGAGATCTCATTTGGTTTATGGAATATGGAAAGCCACCGCTAAAGCCGCAACTGGCAAGGTTTCTGCATAGTAACAGAAGATTAAGGTGTGAGAGAAAGACAATGAAATTTATTGAAAAAACAAAAAGAATTTAAAAAAATAATAATAAATCTCACAGTCTTGTCACATTTGGAGGAAGTTGAAAAGGTATCTGATTTCCGAGATTATTGTTACTGATATCGCTGCAACCAAATAGTTCCAAAATGATTTTAATAAGACAAAAACTCGAGGGATCTATCAAAATCATATAAATATTAAGCACATTATCGTACAAGATTAGAATTTTATGTTGTCTTACAAAGTAGTTAATGATGTCAATTTATCTAGCTGGTACCCCATATTCCCAGTGAGTCCCAGACCCGATATCCTTCTGATGAAAGAAAAAAACAAACAAACATATCAGAATGTGGCCAAACATTTAATTCAAATATGGTTAAAAAAAAAAAAGAATCTTGAGAAAATAATAGAAAGAAAATATGAAGAGTTCGAAACAGATCACATTTCAGTAATTCTTGAGCCTGAGCAGGTAATTCCTTTCCAGTTTTGCCCACAAGGGTCCTGACCACTTGGATTCCATTTATCGAGCTGAGGTGGCTGATTCAAACCCGTATACAACGCGCTAATAGCAGCAGCTGTATGTATATGCAGCTTATAGTCAAATTATGAAACAATTTAAATTTTTTTATGAATAATGAGTATGAGGAGCATGAATAATTTGATTTCGTATAGCCAAACTCATGTTTCAATGAAAATCCTGGAAAAAACTTATGGATGGCTTGTTCTTGAACAAGCTAGATTTTGATTTTGCTTATCAAGAACGGATTTTGGCCGTGAGATAAGCATATAACTGAAGTACATGACAGGATTCTTGAGTTTATTGCATCATCTGGTTAATTACATTTCAAGTAACCACAAACATTATCCGATATAGAAATATTCATTACCCAGAAAAACAAAAAATGTTAATCAAGCAATCATGATGTGATGATCATTTCAAATCGTGCACAAACAAGACTAAATCACAAAACTAGGCAAACACTTGATGATCAGACCTCAAAGAAGGGAAAAAAGTATGCTCTTTACAAGAATGTGCCAACATTATTATTACTAAAATCCTTCCAAAATCTATACAGAAATAAATCACCTTGCAAATCAACATTATGAGCAACTAACAAAGAAAAACAAAACAACAAAAGTTGTAGAGTATAATTGCAACACAAAATTAGGGTTAAAAAAAACACCCTGACCAATAAACAATCATTAAATCGAGTACAAACCACAGTGCCATCCCTAAAACCCTCAAGCAATCAACACACCCAAAACACATAGACAAACCCATCCATGTGTACATAGATACAAAAATGCACAAATAAAGCCAAAAACAAATAATGAAATTGAACGAGTACACATATAAATTATGAGCTGACCATCGTTTGGATCTGTATCGCCATTGGTGGAGCTGAGAATGCAAATGAGGAAAACTACCATAGCCACCACCTCCATGTCTTTCACCCCTCTCATCTCTCTGTGCTTTCTCTCTCTACCCTTTCTCTATTTTCTTGATTTTATGATAAAGCAAAACTTACANTATCTTTTATCAATTCTCGGACTAGGAGAGCCTTGGACAGAGAACCCTTTTTTTTCTCTTTATTCTTTATTTATTTCTTTCTTTTTTTTTCCGGGGGATTTTTTCTTATTTAATACATAATTGCCATAATCGAAAGAGAATAAATAAGAATATCAAGAATTGTTATTTGCAAACTTTCTGCATACCCATTTTCACAAAAAAGCTGGCAGGCACGATCTGGTGGGAGAATCCAAAGCCACATAATTCTTGTCTCTCTCCACTTTCTCTCACTTGAATTCGATACATATGCCTTTGCAATGTAGCCATGTAGGCAGCACTTAATATTATTTTATTTTATTTTTTATGTCATATGTTTGGTAATTAAATAAACTAACTTATATTTTATTTGGTTAATTTTACAAGTTTCTTGCATTCAAATAAGTTTCGTTTGATTGGACGGGCTTTTTAGAAAAGCTCGAGTTTATCACTTAAAGCTTCGTATGGTAAGACGAGCATTTTTGAAAAGCTCGAACTTATCTCATAAGCTTCTTGGATAGTTTTTCAAATAAGCTCGTTAAAATTTTTATTTCAGCTAGATTATCAACTAAAAAATATTTTTATCATATAAGATAGTTTATCAGCTATAAGTCAAACTATAAGCTCAAAAATTACTAATAAGCTATAACTTAACTTATCAGTTAGTTTTACCAAACAAAGCCTAAACTTCTTTGGGTAGCTTTTCAAATAAGTTCGTTAAAATTTTTATTTCAGCTAGTTTATCAACTCATTTTACCAGATACCATTATCATATAAGTTAACTTTTCATATAAGCTCAAAAATTATATGTTTGGTAAAACTAGCTAATAAGCTAGCTTATAGCTATATGTAATTTTTGATCTTATAGCTTATATCTTATGACTTATAGCTGAAAAACTAGCTTATATGATAAAAGTGTTTGGTAAAATTAGCTGATCAGCTAGCTGAAATAAATAATTCAACTAGCTTATTTGAAAAGCTACCTAAAGTAACTTATGAGATAAGCTCGAGCTTTTTAAAAAAACTCGTCCTACCAAACGATACTTATTTGAATACAAGAAGCTTGTAAACTAACCAAACACAACCTATGTTTGGTAGGTAGCTAAATAAGCTAGCTTATAGCTTATTTGGTTAGCTTATAAGCTTCATATATTCAAATAAGGCTCATTTGGTAGGATGGGCTTTTCTAAAAAGCTCAAGCTTATCTCATAAATTTCTTTAGGTAGCTTTTCAAATAAGCTAGTTGAATTGTTTATTTAAGCTAACTTATTAGCTAATTTTACCAAATATTTTTATCATATAAGCTAGTTTTTCAGCTATAAGTCATAAGCTATAAGCTATAAGCTTGAAAATTACATATAAGTTATAAGCTAGTTTATCATCTATCAACTGGGTTTACCAAACATAGCCTTATAAGTTATAATTCAGTCTATCAGTTATCAGCTAGTTTTACCAAGTACAGCCTAACAAGGGTAAGCATTTTAATTTTTAGTAGGTATCTTTGGTAATAAGTTAACTGATCGGAAATGCTCCAGTACCCACGGTGGGCACATGTTAATATGTCCACAGCTTATGTGGCATGTACACATTGGTGATGTTAATATATTAAAAAAAATACATCACCAATGTGTGCATGCCACATAAGCGGTGGGCATATTAACATGTGTCCATCGTGGGTACTGGAGCATTTCCCATTAACTAAAAGTTGATAAGTTAGTTAATATTTTATAAGTAACTTTCGAGGTTAGTGTTTAGTGAAATTAGTTGATAAGTCAACTGCAATAAAAATTTCAACGAACTTATTTGAAAAATTATTCAAAAAGCTTATTAGATAAGTTCGAACAATTTTTTTTTAAATTATCGTACCAAATCAAGCTTATTTGCATACAATAAGCTTATTAGCTAACTAAATAAATTATAAGCTAGTTTTGGTGCTTATCAAATGCACTAGTTGTAATTATCTCATTAATTTTCCTTTTTTTTATGTATCATTTTTTTTAAAGAAAAAAACATTGCATTGTTTTTTAGGAAACTGATTTAATTGTCTATAGAAAAATGAATTATGGGTTTTGATTAATTGGTTATTTAATTTAATTAGTGATAAAAGTTTGAGTTATTAATTTTAATTAATTGATTATATAGTTTTGTTTGACATATACTTATATGTAGCAAGTTGAATTAGTCGGTTTGACTAGTTAATTATATTAGCTTTCTTTACCAGTTAGCAAGTTGAATTTTTTACTACATGATTATATTAGCTCCGTCTGACACTTACCAAACTGAATTATCAATATCAAATTGAATTAACAGTTTTGACTAACTGATTATATTTGCTTTGCTTGACAGTTAGCAGATTGAATTATCAGTTCTGAATTTTGATTAGCTCATTTTGTTCGACTCTTTGCAGGTAGCGAATAGCTGATTTAATTAACGGATAACATTATGAATTAGCCATTTTGATTAATAGGTGTTTTAATTGATATGCATAAACGTTTGATAAATAATTAGCTATTACACACACATAAATAATTAATCAAAACTACAATAATCTATTATAAGTTCATACGTTGATGTTCCAAAAATATTTTTTTGGATCTGAAGAATTGTTTTAAATCGCTACTACTAAATAATAATATTAGAAATTTTTTACCAATCTTTAATTTATCATCAGATCTCGAAGTTGGTTCTAAAACGCCAGCAAACAACTTAATTAACGGATAACATATTGAATTAGCCATTTTGATTAATAGGTATCTATATAGATATATATATATATAGGATGTGGTTCAAATGAGAACCAAGTCCTAGCGTGAGAACCGTGAGAATCGCTATTTTTAATTGTATGTAGTGCTATGATTGATTGTATTTAGTGCTATTTTTAATCAGGATGTATTTTATTAAAAATAGCAACTTAGCATTTGTAAAAATGATAGCACCATGTAAGATTAAAAATAGCATCATACACAATTAAAAATAGCATCAAATATGGTTCTCACGGTTCTCACACCAGAAAAGGTTTTTATTTAAACCACTCCCTATATATATATATATATTATATATATATATTGTTGACGGGCGTTTCCGGTCAACGGTTAAAAAGTTACATAAAATAAAGAAAGTAAGGAAAAGACAAAGAAATACGGTTTAATTGCGATTTTATTATATGATCACGAGGTCGGCCTCTCGTACGAGGTCGGCACTTGCGATATACTTCGAGGTTTCTTACAAGAATTTCTTACAGATCTTTTAGAGAGAGAAAAAGTGAGTACAAGTAGTTGGGATTCAACAACCCAAAATAATTGAAGTGGGCTGCTATTTATAGTTGCCTTAAATGTGACACTGTTCAGGCACTGTTCATCAGTCTTGTCGAACAGTGTTTCTTGCAGAGTAGTTCGGCGCCTCCCTGACAGAATTTAATGCGATTTGAGGTTTTCCTCATCATTGTCTGACAGTCATTTAATGCTGGCAGGCTTTATGTCTTGGCTAGGGGAGGTAGGTCAACAGGCTAGAATGTCCCATCCATCAGCCAATGATTACTCTCCAAGTGGCCTTATTATACTGCTATCGAGATCGGCACCTTCATTGCAGGGACCCGTCCTGAGATTCCAGACCGGTACTTTTTCTTTGCTTGTTCCTCCTTCCCCGGGGAACCTATCTTTCAACCCGTCGCTCCTCAGATCGGCACCGGTACTTTGTAGCTGCAAACACCGGACTGACGAATCGGACTCGGGGGATCGTCTTGGTCATAAAATATTCCGGTCCAGCTCGGCACTTTCTGAGCGGACCGGATCTCCGGTTCGGCTCTCGAACTCGGGTGTCAACATATATATATAAAGGTTTGATTATTTTATAAATAGTAACTATTTCCCTCCAAAAAAAATCTATTTACTATTTTGGGAAATTAATTTAACAATTTATGTTATATTTCAAATAATCACTTATGAAAATTGCAGCTCATTATTTAAGGAAATAATTAATCCATATAAATATTCATTTTTAAGATACCTTAATTACTCAAATTAATTTAACAATTTATGGCATATTTCAAATAATCACTTATGGTAAATTCTTTTTTAAGATACCTTAATTACTCAAATCATGTGAATTAACTGATTTACCCAAATATGGGAATTTCGGCTGCAATATCAAGTATGTGTTTTGGTAAAAAAAGTTCCAACTAAATTGTATAATCTACTGTTTAAGTGTTTTATATTTTTCGTGTAATTCTTTTGTGAAATATATTTTTAGTATACCTTAGTTACGCAAATTGTTTAAATCCGACTGATTTATTAGATCTGTATATAATTACTACAATTATGGAAATATCGACAACAATAATTAATTATGCAGTTTGCAAAATATTGTTCTAAAAAATTTGTGTTAATGATAATTTTTATTTATATATTATTTAATAAATATTATTCATTTTTTGTGTATTTAATTGCTCAAATTGTGGAAAATTAAGAAAATAATTAGACAATACAAATTTACATTTTTAAGATACTCTAATTAGACAGATTGTGTAAGTTTGGTTGATTTATTCAATTATAATTTCTTATAAAATTATTCTAAAATAATTGTGTTAATGACAATTTCTATTTAATTATTTTTTAATAACGTTTTTTTTTTATCTATAATTAACGTGAGTCTAGATTTTATTTTGTACTCTGGACAATTAATTTCGTTGTTAAAATGAATATTATTTTTGTATTTTATCGATAATGTATGAAATCGAATTATTTGGTATACTAGATATTGATCCAATATACTCGCTTATGGTAATAAATGGTATCTCAATATTTTTTTTTTCATATTGCTAAGCATTTTACTCGATATTAATGAAAAAAAATTTAGATAATATTATAGTCGATTTTTCTTTGTATATGTGCGTGGAACATATCAAATTATTCGGTGTGTGTGTGTGTGTGTGTGTATATATATATAAAGGTTTGTTTTTACATAAATCACATTGTAGTCAAATTAAATTTCTGAATAAAATCTTTAAAATGACATCTATTTTTGAAATGAATATAATGTAACTTATTATCAGTTACTTGCATTACCGTACGGATTGTGTACTAATTTTAAATATAAATGTTTTATGTAATTTTGCACAATTTAAATTTCATATAACATTTTCAACAAATTAATATAGGTAAATTGTATTACATATTAATCTCATATTTCTAATTTATAAATATTATTTAATGAGTATTTGCAATTTACAAATATTAATGAATATTTTTTACCTGTGCATCGCACGAGATTCTTACTAGTTT